CTTCGACGTTTTCACCGAGAGAGCGATATATAGACATGGACAGTCCCTTCTTATTCTCAGAAGACCCTTGGATCACCGCCGGCCGCCGCCGAGATCAACACCGTCACCGCGGTGCTTCGACGTTTTCACCGATAGAGAGAGAGATAGACATGGACAGGCCCTTCTTCTTCTCAGAAGACCCTGGGAACACCGCCGGCCACCACCGAGAGCAACCCCGTCGCCCCGCAGCTTCGCCGGCGGTGAACGACCCGGTCTTCTCTGTCCCCGTTTGCTTCGGATCCGACGCGGCGGCCGCTGCCAAGAAGCCAGCGACGGCGCTCCCCTCGAAGGCGACGAGGTCGGCCGCTGCCGTCGCTATCCAGAGGGTCCTCCGGGGCCACCTGGTGCGGAAGAACGTGAGGGTCGTCTCCAGGCTCGCGGCGGAGTTGGGCGAGATAGAGCAGATGGTGCGGTCCGGATTGGAGCGGCTGCTTGCGGAGCCGAAGGAGCGGCTGCGGGTGAGCGAGATGCTCATGGCGTTGCTCTTCCGTCTTGATTCCGTCCGCGGTGTCAGGGAGTACCGGAAGAAGGTGATCCGGAGAGTCATCTCGCTCCAGGAGTTCCTAGATTCCGTCTTCGGCCAAACCCAAACCCTTGAATCACCAATTCCGGCAGAGACGCACGGAGAGATCCGTGATCGTGATGCCATTTTGGAAGAGGTTGGCGAGATGCCTCAGGATGACAACGCCGAGGAAGAGACGGCTTCTGGCTCCAAAGATGTCTCGGTTCAAGAAAGCGATCCGGACTCTAACCAAGACCCTATCTTGGCCGTCGTCAAACAGGTGTCTGATGCATCTGACGAGAGCTTCGAAACCCTAGATTTGACCGACGACCTCAAGAAAGAAGAAGAGAAGGCAGTGATTGAAGACTTTGTTGTACTATCCATGGAAGAAGCCATCGATCCGTCTCAAATGCGATTCGATTCCGCGGCTAACCCGGAGAAAGCTGCCGTCGCTGATTCAATAGAACAAGAGAGCAGGGAGGCGGCTGCAGGGATCTCGACAACAATCGCTGAAGCCGAGACAGGGGCAGCGAGGCCGCACATGAGCGAGACGGTCGATGTGCTGAAGAAGGTGATGGCGGAGACGGAGAGGCTGCAGGGCCTGGTGGCGGCATTGTGTGAGCAGAACACGCAGCAGTGCATGCTGATGACAGATGTGATGGAGAGGGTCGAGCACTTGGAGCGGGCAGTACAGACCATGAGCGAGAAGAAGAAGAAGAAGATTGGTGCTGCTAAGTGCTAACCGCGCTCTTGCTTCCTTGGTCGACAACGAAGGTAGCCCGATCAAGCAATGATTCCTAGTTTAGGTTGTTGTATAGTTTATGGTAGTATGAAATGGTGATTGGTTTTGTTTACCTCTGCTTCTGCAGATTTGATGAACAAAATTCTGCTTAAGAACAATCTTTCGATTTAGTTCTCTGATCCCTAAATCAGATAGATAGATTGATAGACCAGTGGACTTGAGGACATTCCACTGAGGAATAATATAGTTGTACAGATAGTAGGGATGATTGTATTCTACTTGTAAGTATGTATAGCAGTTTTGTTATCATTAAGTGGTACAGTAGATTTCTCTTTTGAAACCAACACTAATCAGGAAAACAAAAGATGCCATCCTACCTGATAAATTGCAATGTGATGAACTGTTCTATATAATATGTCTCGACAATGTTGGTAAGATTCTTCTGCATCTACCATTTATATGCCAACTGCAACTAGTTTGACTTTGATGCCCTGAAAATTATGATGTTTAGTTTATTTTTGTCATGCTTTTCAGCATTATATACTCTTGGTACATTGTTGCAAACATCATCAGATGACATGAAATAACAGTCATTTCTATGTTTCTCAGCATCATATATTTTCCCCATGTCAGTCAGTCAGTCACAAACAAAAGTAGAGTATGCATTTTATGCCAAGTTTCTTGTGCCATGACACACAGACTTTCCTTCTTCTTGCAGGCCAACTTCATTAATAGATCTGGAGGTGGGGGGTCATTGGTTTCAAATGACTGGAGGATGCTGCTGAAAGGATGAGCTACAAACTTAGTTGTCACATTCATAACAAGTTGAGATTATTCAGTCTTAAAAGGGTTTTTATTTTCTTTTTTGTGTTTTGGGTGTGGATGTTGTCAAGCTATTGAAATCCAGACATTATAGTTGCATGAATCCAACTGGTCCACAGCAGCAGTGCTTGTAAGTGATCATCAGTTGCTTGGCCTGCATTGCTATCCAGCTTTGAGATAGCAGAGACGTCCAACAACAACTTGGCAGGTTGCCTAGTCTTAATCCCAAGGTTGTATCATCATCATCATCATCATCATGATGTTGTGGTTAAAGGAACTGAATTCGATTTGTCAAAACATCATAGGACAGACATATTGATGAATAGTTATGCTGAACTCTAAAGCTGGTAGGGCGTATCCCATCCCAGTGGCAACTTGTGGGTGGTTGTAATGTCTTATCTCCATAATTCCGAAAAGAAGTTGGTAGTCTTGTCCAAAACTTGCATAACAAGTCTCTTATATTTCTTTGTTCTTAATTCGAGGCAATAGTGCATGAGAGTCAACGAGATAGCTGCATTTCTATGGTTTTATGGTAGAGACAGCAAAACAGGGCAAGTCTGCAGAGGGTTCGGTCATGCATGACTGCTAGCCTTTAGAATGATGGAAGGCCATTCAAAATGTCTAATTACTTTTGCACAACACTTCCATCTAAGTCACTTTTCATGCTCATTTTGCATTATGGTGGTTGTGCTGAAGAACAGAGATAAAAAGTGAGTACACAATACGAAACATGTCAATCGGGATTTGGCTTATATCGTTTCGCATTAGATTAGTTTGACACTAAAAATATTAATCTGATAGTGATTTATCAGATTCACTTGAGTTATTTTTTATGATGTTGGCTGTGGGAAAACCTTCCCATCTAATCAATCGCGGCAACACAGTCACAAAATTTGAAGCAAACATCTGGCTTTTTCTAAATGGAGAGCATTAGGGGATCACAAGGTTGGTGCAACTTCTTTTCGTATACTTTGAACTGCTACAAAGAAAGAAGACAATGACACACACCATGAAACCCTAATCTAAAGGAATGGTTACAACCCAGTTATTCCAACCCCTCCAAACTCATCATCCCCCACGCTGCTTCTGTCCACATGCAGCTCAGCTCTTCCCATGGAGCTGCTGCATATATCCACCGATCACCAGCAACCCACCTGGAAGCTCGCGGGGGACATCGTGAAGGCCCGATCCCACGCGTAGCAGAACTTGACGGAAACCGAACTGGGGATGCCCTTCCCGTCGTTGACGAGATAGCCGGCGCCCTCGCGGCGGAACAGCTTGGGGTCGACCATCATGGAGCTGGCGAAGCCCTCCGACCGCAGGAACACGCTCCTGACGGTGCACCGGCACAGGTTCTTCACCTCCACCTCGAACACCGGGTCGTATCCCACCTTCTTCCCCGTGTTGGTTTGCTGCACCTGAATGCTCGAAAGCTCACACCGCTGGCTCTCCACTGCATCAGTTCCAAGGACATGAATCATTGGAAGATAGATATATAGACAGACAGATAGATAGAGAGGAATACCTGCTACAAAGGAATGGAGGAGGAGGACAGTAGAGAGGAGCTTGAGGACAGAAGCCATTGCAAAAGAAGGCTTTGTTTGAAGAGGATATGAGCCTTCACTTTGCGTGTGTGCCTATATATCTACATATAGACAAAATGAGCTCTGTCAAACATGTGGGCTGCGATTTGGATGGGTTGATGAGTGGGTAGGAGATCATGTGAGGAAGCAAACACCTTTACGATTAGGACAAAGGCATTTGCCTGTTACTTTAATCAGCACCATCTTGAGCCACTTCATGGCCATGTTGGCTGTGGATTGACTCGACTCCCTGTGTGTGTGAGGTAAGTACGACGCATCACCTTCATGTTGACTCAATCTTTTACTTCCTAAGCTCATTCATTCCAATGTGGTTTGACATCAGGAAATTGAGCTTCTTTCAGGAGGATTGGGGTGAATCATTCCCCCATTGTTTTCAGCTACAGAAAGATTTGTTTTACTTTGTAACACATAACTTATGTCTTCTCTCGACCAATATCCGTGGCAGCGGTGATTGTCATTGAACCCATCATGCTATGATATCTCGAATTCTCAGAAAGAGTCTCAATTTGGTTGGAAATTCGATTTGTTCAATTTTCCTAACTTAATATCGTAAACTAACTTGAGTATTAGAGGATTTTTGTCGAGAATATCTTGATACAAGAGGAACAGATTGGACATCCAACTCGAAACTTTCCTTTGCCGACATGAGCATCGTCATGTATGATTCCCTTGTCATATGCATGTAGACAATCAAATCGGACATGAGCAGAAGATAGAGTCTTCCAAGATTCTGAGCTATCTATATCTCCTAGAAAGATTTGTTTTGCTTACATCTAAAGCTAAATAATTACAATCTTGTTCTATAAGAGCCATAACGGATTGGCTACTGATGTTTTTTCTTTAGATTTTGGGAGATAAAAGAAATGCTTATCTTTGGTAGAATCATATCCTAGATATGACAGGTCAAGTCTCCTTGTTGCAGAATCCAAAGCAATTCCAAGTCAACGTGAAACATTCCAGCAACAAAGCAGGGACCAAGAATATTGTTCTTGGTCCATCTCAACTCTCACTTTATTCTTCCTCACTGTTCCTGAGATTCCCAGCAAATACTATATGGACTTCAGGGTCTTTTCAGTCTTCCATGCTACGCCTTCTCCCACTAAAGATTGACACAAAACACGAGTCGAGAATCTATCGAAGTAGGCTTCAGATTCGAGCTTCAACCATACATCACCCTGAAACAGGAAGCGAACTTTAAGGTCACGAGATGATCAAGGTTCAACGATCACATGAGATGTCATAAGATTTCTAGCAAGGTTTGCATTTTCGTGTACCGATAATGTCTCGTATAAAGTTTGGAGCAATATCATACTGATCTTTACTTTAGTTTCACGAAAAATCTAAAAAATTAATCTTCTGGTCCAATATATAATAGACCGACAAAATACCACTCGTAATCTACCATACCAAACAAACAGTATTGTAAACCTTAATTTCTAATATGATGAAGTCAAGAACCACCTCTCAACTCAACTCTATCAAATGTATCAACGGCCAAACTATAAGCCATATGTTGATCATGAAGTGACGAAACATTAATCAGCAATAATAAGCTCACAAATCGAGAGAAAAGACATTGCAAATCTGTCGAAAGTACCGCGACTTCATGTCAGCAAAGGATTGAAGAAAGAAGGAAAAAAGGAAGGCTATGGGTTGCCACAAGTGCTTATGAGAAACCGAGCTTCTTTTGTACAACGCATGGCAAATCCTTTGAGTCAACCAAGGATTACAGCAACAACAGGAAAAAGTGTCGATGGACAGCGCAGCACTTACATCAGAAAGAATTGAATATAGGATTCTTTTGTAGCATGCTGGATTGAGGTTTCATAGACTGCGTTAGAATAAAGGAAAGGAGGACTTTTAACTCCATTCATCAGAATATTAAAAGAAAATATATGAAAAAGGATAAGATGCAAAATTAGGATATACTAAATAGAGAGATAAATTGCAGAATGAAGCACGAGGAAAGTAGCGGATGGAGGAGAATCATTCAAACAGCAATTGCAACGATACAATGTAACCGTTATTATTAAATATTTTATTTAATAATAATGGAACCATTCTTATTAAGTTTATCATTTAATTTTTTATTTATTATGTTTTAAATATTTTAATTTTTTATTATAACTATTATTATTAAATATTTAATATCATTAAAATTATTCATTATGGTTCAAACGTTAGTTGGTGATAATAAATGGAGAACATCTATATAAATGAGGATTTTGGTCCCTTAGCTTAATATCTCTTTAAAGTCTAAACGATTTCCTACACCATGTAAAACGAGAGTTCTGAGTCGAGAAGTGCCAAAGTTCAAGAAGAAATCGTTGCTGAAATTCTTGACAACAATGACCGGAGGTACGTTATTTTATTTTCTCATTAATTTTCTTGTGTTTCTATTATAATGGTTTAGAAACATATTTTGGTATCAAAAATCTAATAGTTGGTATCAGAGCCAATTGACCTCTGCCTTGATATAAAAGAGTTTTTATTTTTTATACCATAAATATGGCTTTATTTTGGTTTCATTTTAAAATTTTTTGATTTATTTCATGTTGAAATTTATGAGATATAATATTTTTAATATTTTGTAGTCAATAAAATGCTCATATTATGTATGCATATTTGGTTATATTAATTCATGCTTATACGTCAATTTTATATGTCCAAAATCTATAGTGATCCATATAATTTTAATTAATTAAGAATTAGTTACAGCATCATTAATTAATTAAAA